TTATATTCTGGATATTCATTTCTTGTCAAATATATGATTTGCAAGTATTTTCTCCCATTTTGTGAGTTGCCTTTTCCATCTCTTGATAATGTCCTTTGCTGTGCAAAAGTTTTTAATTTTGAAGAAGTCCAGTTTACCTTTTTTTTTTTTTTTTTTGCTTCCTGTACCCTTTGTATCACTTCCTGCTTTTCTTTTTTTTTTTTTAAATCCTGGTGGCTGGCCTCTACGGGGATCCGAACCCTTGACCTTGGAGTTATTAGCTCTTTGCTCTCCCACGTGAACCACTGGCCACCAGCCCCCCTACTTTTCTTGATACAGGTTTCCCTCTTGATGTAAAAAGTAACACATGTAAGGTGGGACTGAACACATCACCTGGTGCCCACTAGGGCAAAGCCAGAAGAGAGGCAGGTCTATAGATGTTGGACCATGGTTGTTTCATTTTACTTTTTGATTTTGTAAAACAGTGACATGGTTCAAAGGTCAAGATCATGTCATGGGTTTTCTGCAGAGAAGCCTCGCTCCTGTCCCCATCCCCGTCTAGGTCCTTTCATGCCCAGCAGGTGGCTGACATACACCACTGCTTACACCTGGAAATCCCTCCAGGTTGGTCCAGAGAGAAATTACTCATTCTTTTAAACCTTTTTGGTAAAGCCCCACTTTTAGATGTGGGTCTTCTGGCGGGAGGGAACTTGAACTTGGCCCCATGTAGGCTCTCGATCACATGCTCCTTTTTCTGCAGCTTGGTGCAGGTGGACATGATGACTTGGCCAATGTGAACCCTGGCCACTTGCCCTGGGGCTTTCCAAAAAACACCCGCCCTGCATACCTGTCTGGAGCCTAGATTGGGGACAGCACTAGGTCAGAGACATGAGCATCCGTGGGAATGGGCTCTCTCCAAGGTGCCATAGGGCCACCCTTACAAGCAACAGGCTACATATGCTACCGATGAGGCTACTGTTTGCAGCCATTGCACACCAGGACATTTGATTTATTTTTAAGAGAAAAAAGAGCTCAGTGGGTCTTCTCTTGGAGATTGCGGGGAGATTCATTTATAAACCGTAAAGTTTTTCCCTCTAGGATGTACTGAAGATGAGGGCAGAAAAGCAGGCTTCGATTTGACGGCGTCTCTCAATAGCAGTAGCAGTGCTACTGTTGATCACATAGACAGATGAGGACAGCGAGGCACAGAGACAGTGAGTGATGTGCCCAGGGTCACCCAGCTGGTAAGTGGGGAGAGGAGAGAAGAAACCTGGTCACCTGCTGCAGAGGCTACACCCTGACTCTTTCCGTCCACCATCCATGCAGTTAAGAACTGTTTGTTTTCTTTTCTTTTTTTCTTTATTGAGGTGAAATTCACATAACATAAAATTAATCATTTTAAAGGGCACAATTCAGTGGCATTAAGTACATTCATTAAGTTTTGCAACCATCACCTCTATCGAGTTCCAGAACATTCCTATCACCCTAAAAGGAAACGCCATCCCCATCAACAGTCACTCCCTGCTCCCCCTCCCCTAGCCCTGGCAACCTCTAATCTGCTGTCTGTCTCTATGGATTTGCCTGTTCTGGACATTTCATATCAATGGAATCACACACTATGTGGCCTTTTGAGTCTGGCTTCTCTCTGCATGTTTTCAAGGTCCATCCATGTTGTAACGTGTGTCAGCGCTTCATTCCATTTCATGGCTGCATAATATTCCATTGTATGCTTCTAACACATTTCACTTATCCACTCCTCAGTTGATGGGCATTTGTTTCCACCTCTGTTGTGAATAATGAGGAGCTACTTTTAAATGTAGCAAAGGGTGTGAAGGGAACAGAGGTCCCAGCCAGCTCCTGTTTACATTTGAGGAAAGCGAGGTGCACTCAGGTTTGGTGATGTGCCCAGGGCCACAGAGATCTGTGTTCATTCTCAGTCCAACCTGGAGCTGCTCAGCTACTCAGTAAACATTCATAAGCGCCTGCTGTGTGCACATCCTGCACATGGCAAGGACCGTATCCTGTGGGACCTAGAGACTGTGTCAAGGGGGCCAGGATGGGCTTCCTAGGAGGCTGAGAAAAGACTGGAAATGAGGGGAAGAGCATTCTAAGCAGAGGGAACAGCCAGCACAAAGGTCCTGAGGCAGGTGGAAGCAAGCCTGGCACGTCAAAGGGACAGGGCAGAGAGGTTGTGTGGCTGGAGGGGAGCGAGCAAGGAGGGGGCAGATGAAGGAAGGGGAAGGCAAGGAGGTTGGTGGGAGCTTCAACCCTGCAGGACCTCATGGGCCCTGTTGGGGAATGGGGGTTTAATTCTGAACATGGCAGGAGCTGCAGGAGGCTTGGAGCAGGGAAGGAGCGTGCTGTCATTTTAGATTCTGCCTGGGGGGCAGGAGGCTGAGGTAGTGTGGTGGGGGGGTGGACGGGGAAGACAATGAGGCCTGGTCTCCAGGTCAATTTGCCAAACAAAACACAGGTGTTTGTAACCTCAAGCAAGTAGTGGCCACTGAGAGTAGTCAGTCCAGGCGTGCAGCAGGTGGGTGCAGAAACTGGGTGAATGCTTATGAAACAGGGTGGAGACAGGGCTCACACGGCTAAAACCTTCAGCACTTCTCAGGGGGTTGATGGTGTGAAAAGCAGCACAGTCAGGTGAGGACCACGGCCATGCATCAGGTGAGCACCATGCCTGCGTCACCTCTCAGGACCTCAAAGCCTTTAAAGAACGTTCTCCCTGGGACTAGCTGGTTAGCTCAGTTGGTTAGAGTGCAGTGTGATGACACCCATGTCACGGGTTCGGATCCTGTACCAGCCAACAAACAAAAAACTAAAATGATCTCTCTGATGCCAGCACACAGTGCAGGAAGTTGGTAAAGAAAGCAGAAGAATAAAAATGTGAATGATGGGGAAAAACAGTCGTGGAAGAGGTTAAATGCTTTATAACGTTTTCTCTTTAGCATGCTTTCTAATCAATTTTGCACAGAACATAATCCGCCACTCCTGCCCCAGTGATCCGTCCGGCAGCGGTCTGCAGCCACCAGGGTGCCGGTGTTTGGAGAGCAGGCTTGTCTGTCTGTCTTGCTCTCAACATTTCCTAGGATCCCTTCCAGATCTTGTGTGTCACCAATCTTAGTGTGAGAGACGTGGTCCCATTCCTGGTGTGGACATTCGAGATTCCTCCCTCTTTCCCTCCACTGTGCGCTACCTACTCTCCAGTTGTCTTTATCCCCAGGTGACCTCGACCCAACCCCTTTGGATAGCAGTTTGGAATTATCTATCGGTGATGAGGGGACCTGCTTTCTCAGGCACCCAACATTTGCTGGAGCAACCATAGGTGAATTGGTATGGATAACAAGGTCAAGGTAACGTGGTAAACAAATCTTGAAGCCAATGCAGAAGATACAAGAAGCCTACTCTCGTGACTTCGTGACTTCACTGAGGCCAGATGCAAAAAATGCTTCGCCTGGGACCCGCCCATCCAAGTAGATGATGTGAGCTAGTGGTACCATTTTCAAACCATTGCATGAGATCCGAGGATAACATTGAACAACGCTACCAGTAATTATTATTCGGAGATATAATGTTACTATGAAGAATGCTTGGTTTCTCATATTGGGTTGAAACCTTCATCCACCAACATCTGTATGAGTTTTCGGGTGCCAGAGCTGGCAGAAGAATCATTGTTCATTCAGCAAACGTAGTTCTGGCCCTACTGTGTGCTGTGGAAAGGAAGCCTGCATGTGACCTCTGCCCCCAAGGAGTTAACTTTGGCAGACCATGAGGAAAACATCCGTGTTTCCTCGGAAAAGAGAGCATGTGGCGATACATAGCCCATTTTTGTATATAATTCATGACATTCTTAAAGCCCCTTATGCCCAAGATGGTCAGGAGCTTCCTAAGGAGTTGGGTCCATCTGTAAATGCATATTGAGAATGTGCTGTGTACCATGCACCGAGTCTATAAATAATTCTTCTTGGTATGACAAGGGGAGTATAGCACCAATAACAAGAACAGGAGTAGTAACAGCAGCTGTGAGGGGCCCCGTGGCTCACTCGGCAGAGTGTGGTGCTGACAACACCAAGTCAAGGGTTAAGATCCCCTTACCGGTCATCTTTACAAAAAAAAAAAAAGTAACAGCAGCTGTGTTAGTCTGTCTTCTGTTGCTTATAACAAAAAACCTGAAACTGGGTAATTTACAAAGAAACAATTTATTTCTTATAGTTTTGGAGGCTGGGAAGTCCAAGGTCAAGGGGATGCATCTTGTGAGGGCCTTCTTGGTCGGGACTCTCTGCAGAGTCTGAAGCAGCACAGGGCGTCACATGGCGAGGGGCCTGAGCACATTCATGTGTTCACTCGCTCTCCGTATAAAACCACCATTCCACTCCCATGATAACCCGTTAATCCACTGATCCATTGATTCATTGATCCATTGATGTGTTGGTCCATCAATCCATTTATGAGGCCATTGCCCTCATGATTCAATCACCTTTCAAAAAAAAGACCCCACCTTTCAAATACCATGTTGGGGATTAAGCTTCCACATAAGCTTTGGCGGGGACAAACACATTTTAAGTGTTCAAATGTTGGTTACTGTATCAGCAGACAACATTTGAACACTTAAAATGTGGCAGGCGTTGCGTAGAACTCTGAGTGAATTAGCTCGTTTAATTCTTACAACTACCCTGTGAGGTACATTCCTTATTATCCCCATTTTACAGATGAGGAATTGAGGCTCGGAGAGGTTAAGTGGCTTGTCCAAGGTCACACAGTCAGGGTTCAAACCCGGAAGCCTGGCTCCAGAGGCCACATCATCACACCGCCTCCCATGGAGACGTAGAGTTCGAGACAAGTGGGGGGAAAGGGGTTGAGGGAGGTTTTGGGTGGATCAGCATGTGCCCCCTCTCATTCTGCAGAGTGAGTCAGGAGAGCTGCCTGTTGTCTGAGGATGGGTCAGGGTATCCCTCTGGAGTGCATTATCCCTGCAGCCCTCCCCATCTCCATGACATGCCCTCTCTTCTTGCTTCTAGGAGCTGGAGAAGCTGGGCCTTGGTGACAGTGTGGACCTACACGTGTATGAGATTCCAGTTGAATACAAAACAGTGCAGAGGCTCATCCCCGCCTTGTGGGAGAAGCACAGTCCACAGGTGAGTGGTGCCATGGGCAGGTGCTTCCTCGTGTGGACTTGCGGGTGGGCGCGCCATGTGTGGACGATTTGTGTGGCTTCATTCCTGCTCTGATCACATGACCAGTGGCACAGCCTTGTCCTCGAGAGGGCCACTGTTTTCTGGGTTGCTTTGGAGGTGAGGGAGGAAAACAAACATTTGGGACTTCACAGGGCCTGGCTCTGTCCCTCTGGAGCTCTGTATCAGTCAGAATGTGTTTGGTTATAAGTGACTGTCAACACATATCTCAACCTAGCTGGAGCACAAAAGTTGGTATGCTTCAGGTATAGCTTGATCAAGGTGCTCACCCAGTGTTGTCAACACACTCTCTTGGCCTCTCAGCTTTGCTTTGCTTTGATTTACATTAAGCAAACAGCCTTCTGGCAATCTCTTCCCTCATGGTAGCAAAGTTATGTGGCTGCTGGTTGGCATCCTCCCAATTGATCCACTCAACAGAAAGAGAGCACCGTTCCTCCAGCAATTCCTCCTAAGACCAGGGCTGATTCTCACTGGCCAGCTAGGGTCACAGGCTGGTCCCTGAACCAATCACTGTGTTGGGTGGAAGGAAGGAGCACTCTGATTTGCCAGGCCCGGGTTACATGCCCACTTCAGCAGGCCATGAATGGCCCCAGCTCTGTCTGAACCTCCTGGAGTGAGAAAGGGGACATGGGGTTCCACAAAGGGAAGCTGGGTGTGGCTGTTACCAGACATGGGGGAGCAGAGGCCAGACAGGCAGGAACTGCACCCTGCCACCATGGGTACACTGGCTCAGCGAAGACCATGGACTCAGAGGAGAGCTCCCTGGCGGCAGGTACAAAAGCCACCTGGGAACTACTCTGGGCTGGTGTTTCAGAGAGGTGAGGTCCTGGTCCCCTGTGGGGACCCCAGGTGGCCTCCCACCCTAGTCTGCCCTTTCAGATTCTCCAGGACCAGCCAGAGGAAACTTCCTTTCTAATGAGCCCTCCTGTCGAGTCTCAAGTGGAATTTGCCCCATTTTTCAGAGTTGAACCTGGAGGCTTAGGAAGAAGACTGGACTGAAGGTTCTGGAAATGGGTATTTTCCTCTGCTGCATCTCATAGTCTTGCCTTATTCCGGTTAAAAAAAAAAAGGTTATATTAATCTAACGCACAAACATGTCTTTAAAAATTTCACACTCTATAGAAAGGGATAAAGATAAAGGATATTGGAGTCAGCTGCTGGAGACAAGCTTGAAGCCTCAGGCAAGCTCCTTGAATTCTGCGTGCCTCAGTTTCCTCCTGTGTGAGGTAGAATTAATAATAGGACCCCAGATGGGGTTGTGGTGGGGACTAACTGTTAACTCATACCATTATCGTTAATTTTTTTTCATTCACGCATTCTTCACACACATACATGTGTGCCTGTAGTTTGTTTTTGTTTGTCTTTTCTTTTTGGTGGCAGACTGGGACAGGGTTCCAAACCCTTGACCTTGGTGTTACAAGGGTGCTCTCTAACCAACTGAGAACCAGTCAGCCTGTGCTTTTTAAGCAGCATACTGCATGGATCAGTTTCCAAGTGCTACTGGAACAATTGGCTACAAACTTGGTATCTTAAAACCACAGAAATGTATTCTTATTATCTGTTTTAGCCAGAAGTCCAAAATCAAGGTGTCAGCAGGGCCACGCTCTGAAGACTCTAGGAGAGGATCTTTCCTGCCTCTTATGGCTTCTGGTGGGTCCAGGCAATCCTTGGCTTGTGGCCACATCACTCCAGTCTCTGCCTGCACATGGCTTTCTCCTCCTATCTCTCCTCTGTGTGTCTCCTGTAAGGACATTTGTCATTGAATTTAGGTTCCACCTGGATAATCCAGTATGGTCTTCTCTCAAGATCACTATCTTAATTACATCTGCAAAGACCCTTTTTCCAAATAAGGTCATATTCATGGTTTCCAGGCATTAGGACATGGACATATGTTGTGTGTGTGTGTGTTGGTGGTGGTGGTGAGACGACCATCCAACCCACTACATATCAGCTGCTATTTTGCTTTCACATTCACCAGTTTATCAAGCAGATAACACAATGCAAGATGCTGGGAATCCAGCAGCGAGTGGAACATGTCAGCCCCTGCTCCCAGAGAGTTAGATTCTCAAGCAGCTCAGTCCAGTAGACATCATTATGCCAGCCACAGAGAACATTCGATTTTTTCTATTAGCCACATTAGAAATGTAAAAAGAAGGGCCGGCCAGTGGCTCACTCGGGAGAGTGTGGTGCTGATAACACCAAGGCCACGGGTTCGGATCCCTATATAGGAATGGCCAATTAGCTCACTTGGGAGAACGTGGTGCTGACAATGCCAAGTCAAGGGTTAAGATCCCCTTCCCAGTCATCTTTAAAAAAATAAAGAAAGAAACGTAAAAAGAAATACAGTCAGCCCTCCATGTCTGTGGGTTTCACATCTGCAGATTCAACCAACCACTCGTGGTGCTGACAACGCCAAGTCAAGGGTTAAGATCCCCTTACCAGTCATCTTTAAAAAAATAAAGAAAGAAACGTAAAAAGAAATACAGTCAGCCCTCCATGTCTGTGGGTTTCACATCTGCAGATTCAACCAACCATAGATCGAACATATTTTTTAAAAAACAATAAAAAAAATACAAATAAAAAACCATACAGTGTAACAACTATATAGTGTTTACATTTTATTAGGTATTAAAAGTAATCTAGAGGTGATTTAAAGTATATAAGAGGACACTCATAAGTTATATGCAAATACTACACCATTTTATATTAGGGATTGAGCATCTGCAGATTTTTGTGTCCGTGGGGGATCCTGGAATACTGTGGATACTGAGGAACGACTGTAAACGAAATTATTTTAAAATCTTAAATTTAACCCAGTATATCTAAAACATTACCATTTCAACATGTAATCAATATGAAAAATTATTATTATTTTATTTATTTTTTATTTTTTAAAAGATGACCGGTAAGGGGATCTTAACCCTTGACTTGGTGTTGTCAGCACCACGCTCAGCCAGTGAGCAAACCGGCCATCCCTATATAGGATCCGAACCCGTGGCCTTGGTGTTATCAGCACCGCACTCTCCCGAGTGAGCCATGGGGCCGGCCCTCAATATGAAAAATTATTGATGAGATATTTTACATTCTCTTTCTATGCTCTGTTTCCAAAATCTGGTGTGTGCCTTACACTAAATGCATGTCTTGGTTTGTATTAGTCACATTTCAGTGGCTTAATAGCCACATGTGGCCTGTGCTTGCCATATGGAATACTGCATTCTTCAGCTTAAATTTTAAATGTTCACATATTTTCTTCCAGCCCCCCTTCTGTGTATAAGCAAACACACAAATAATAGTTGAAGTTGATCTGTATCCAGTTTGGTATCTTGCATTTTATAAATTTGCCTTATGAGCATTTAATGACCTAAAGATTATTATTTTGATGGCTGAGTAATTTTTAGTAATTAATGTAACCATTCTCCTATTATTGGGCACACTAATTGTTTCCAGGCTTCTTCTCACTTTTATAGATAATGTGAAAGTGACTGTCTTTCTTACATCTTTGATTATTTTTAGGTGAGATTCCTTGAAGTTATATCTTATCGTTTTTTTTTTTTTTTTTTTTTCTTTTTCGTGACCGGTAAGGGGATCGCAACCCTTGGTGTGGTGTCACCCGCACCACGCTCAGCCAATGAGCACACCAGCCAGTTCTATATAGGATCCGAACCCACGGCGGGAGCACCACTGTGCTCCCAGCGCCGCACTCTCCCGAGTGAGCCACCGGGCCGGCCCTATCTTATCTTTTTTAATTTGACAATATGTCATGAAGATCATTCCATTTTAAGAGCTGCATAGTAGTTTATTATTTATTTATACAACCCCCTACCCCATGAATGGCTAGTTAGATTGTTTCCAGTATTTGATTGTAATAACAAGAAGAGCTGGAGTGAACACCCTTGCATTTTTCATATCCTTGCCTATTTCACTTGGCATACCTTTCTGCAAGAGTGACTGCAGGGTCTATTCCAGCAGCAAGAGGTCAGAAACAGTGTAACCCAAGGCAGAATTCAGGGAGGATGCTTCTCTCTCCTTGGCCTGCAAAGACCCCCCAGTCCCATGGCCAGGATGTTAAGCCCTGCCTGTCTGTCTGCAGCTGGTGGTGCACGTGGGGGTGTCGGGCATGGCAACCACAGTCACACTGGAGAAATGTGGGCACAACAAGGGCTACAAGGGGCTGGACAACTGCCGCTTCTGCCCCGGCTCCCAATGCTGTGTGGAGGACGGGCCTGAAAGCATTGACTCCATCATCGACATGGATGCTGTGTGCAAGAGAGTTACCACGCTGGGTCTGGATGTGTCGGTGACCATCTCGCAGGATGCTGGCAGGTAGGGGCCCTCTCGGGTGGGTGTGAGCAAGGTTTCCCTCCTCCACCAGCTGAGCCTGGTACTGAACAAGTCAAGTGTGTTGACTTTGGCCTCTTTGGGCTAAGCTCTCAGCGTGTGCAGAGCACAGAGCTAAGTGTATGTATGGAGCAGGTCCTGTTGTTTCTGCTGGTGAAACTCATCTTGAGTCTGCTTGCTTCTCCCCACCACCAGCATCTCCCTCCTGGGAGCTGCCCTGCAACCTCAATGTCCTCCTTCCTGCCACTGCTACCCCAACCCCGACAGACATTTTCCCATAAGCAACCAGTTTTTTAATTGGTTTCCTGAGGCTGCTGTGACAAATAAACCAAACTGGGTGGCTTAAAACAGAAATTGATTTTCTCCCAGTTCTGGAAACCAGAAGTCTAATATCAAGGTGTCAGCAGGGTTGATTCCTTCTGGAGGCTCTGAAGGCCAGTTCATCCCAGAACTCTCTCCTGGCTCCTGGGGGCTCCAACAATGCTTGACGTTCCTTGGCTTGTAGACCAATCACTCCAATCTCTCTACCTCTGTCTTGACATGGCCTTTTTCTTTTTTTTTTTTTTTTTTTTTGTCTTTTTTTTTTACTGACCGGTAACGGGATTGCAACCCCCGGTGTCGTGCCCGTACCGGGGACCGGCA